TTTGGCCAGTGTCAGAAGACAGGACACTGGGCGAGATGGACCTTTGTTCTGACCCAGAATGGCCGTTCTTATGTTCTTATCACTTATTACATGTAGGCAAGAGTCAAGGCCCAAGCTGTATAAAGGAAAGACTAGATTATATGTTCTGGTTCTGGATCAGAATTCAGAAATAGTTATGACCCACGTGGGAAAACCCAGTTGTGGGTTTAGAAGGGCTGATACCTAGGTTGGAATCGGGGAGACTCCTGATAAGCCTTTTAGCATGCCGCTAGGTTATTTGATTGTTCTCATGTTTTTTTCCCTGTCATGCTTTCACCCTAGAACTACATGTACTGGCTTAGAAACAGCTGCCTGGTAACTTGTAATTGTAACAATTACGCTGGTCTTTCCCTCTGCAGAGAAAGCAAGACGCAGGAATCTGGCCTCTTGGGCTGTCTGGCTTGCTGAGGGTATCCCAGTCTAGGCAGGGAACTGAATCACCTGGTCAGGGAGGGAGGGAGAGATGGATCTAGGTGATCAGTGTGGTCCCTTATTGGTGTTATAATCTAGGACTAAGGGTTTCCGTTTGGGGTTTTTTTGGAAGGGGTCACATCAAACCAACACAATCCCTCCCCAAAAGTCTCTGCTGTAATGTTGTGACATGTTCTGAGCGGGGAGCTGCTTCCCGCTTCAGGGGGCGCCTAACCTCAGCTGCAGCAAGGACAGGAGGGTTTTTGCACGTCTCCGATATGTGGCTCCGTCACTGTGCCAGACCCAGGGCGCAGAGATACACCGCTCCGTCCGCCACCTCCAGGGCTGCGATGTTCAGAGCTGTGGAGCTGTGTGGCAGTTCAATGATGAGACAGAACACAGCTTTATGCAAGAAAGCAGGCTGGTCAGCTGAGATGGGCGTTCTGCCCCCCGCCTTCCACCTTCTCCTTTTATTATATTTCTCCCCCCTAAGCATTACACACTGCTACCGCAAAAAGATACACAAAGGAATGTATGACGTTGATTAATATACTTAGTTGCATCTTTTAGCTACTACAATCCTGGTTCTCAGGCCTTGAGCCCAGGCTAAGAAAGCCTCCCGCAGTTACTGTCCCAACAATCAAGTTTTCATGGTTCATATCTAGCCCTTGTCCTTGGATAGAGCAATGTGTGCATTGCTTCTACAGAACAGTCAAGGTGTGCCCTGCCTGCTTCCAGGTGGAATAGCTAAACATGAACCCTTCAGAGCTGTCATCAGCCTGGGAAGAAAACCTCCCCTGGGAGGAAAACCTCCCCTGGGAGAAATCTGCGGTGTCACTGAAAGCTCTGGCATCCTTGGTTCTCTCCAGACAATGTACTGCAGACCTTGATTCGGAAACTGGCGGTACCAGTGGAGACAGACGGACCCAGTATAGCTAGCAGCGTAAGAGCAGCGGAGTATCGCCTTCAGCTCCGGACACCTGGGTTTCCTTGGACGGAACCGAGTCGCTCAGCACCGCACCTGCAACAGGACCATCACATTCAAGGGCGTAATTTAAACTGCACTTGAGACAGAGAGACCCTCCTGGATGCATTGCAGTTTAAGGCTGTGAGTTCTCACGCAGCTAGGCTCCCAAATCCAAGGGAATGCAGGATACGGTTCGGTTACGTTTCAGGGTTCAGTTTGAGCATAAGGATAATATTAGGGCTTAGGTTAAACCTTAGGGTTAGGAGTCATGGAAAGGGTTAGGGTTTATAGGGAAAATGTAAAAGCTGTGTTCCAATGTGCGTCTAACTTCCCCACACTCCTTTGAAAATCTCCGTCTATTCACCTTGGTGGTTTATTATCCAAATGCTAAGGATAAAACATGTCCCCATGATGTCTCCCACAGCCACCCAGTCTGAGGCTCTCCGATGCTGCTGAGAAGAGAAATCTGAACTGAACGTCTCCGAAGGCAGCTACATTTGGGGAACTGTAATTAAAAAATAAAAACAAACAAGCAGCCTTGAGAGGAAATAGGAGGAGTTTGGGGAACTCTCGACCTGAACTCAGCGTGTTTCCTGTGTCGGTGAACCTCCTGTTGAAGCACACGTGGGAATGGCAACCTACCTTGAAGGAAAGAGTTAACCTAGATGTGAACGCCCCTGGATTTAAACTCGGGACATCTGGGTTCACTTCAGATTCCATAACTGGATTCTCTTGCTAACCCATGGCAAGTAATTTTAACTCCTCACTTACATCATGGGGGGAAGGGAGTCAAATAACGTCTCTAAATCACATGTGATTTCTGAGGATAATCAGTTTTCAGGCGCTTATATGCAACTGTAGAGGGATATAATTCCATAGAAAATGCCATAGAAAAGTTCATTAAAAATGTAGAGTGGGATTTGAACAGCATGAATTCAGAGGTAGCTGGGCCTTGGGAATCCCATCTGAAATTCTTAGCAGAATTACTTTATTTTTTTTCTTTCTTCCCCTCTCTTTGCTGTCACTGATTAAAACCTAAAATACTAAAACAACAGGGGTCAAAAATCAACATGTATCTATAATTTTTACCAGTAGGTGACGCTGCTCTTCCAAGCGTTCACCACTCAGCCTACAGAGCATGGCTTTAATCGAGTGGGTCTTTCAAAAATGATGCACGGGAAAGAGAGACCCCAGCAAATCAGCACAACATGCGAGTTTGCCTTAGACTCCAATACTGAATCCGCTCGAGGAAGCACCCCCGCCGGGGGTCCATTAATTTTCACCATGTTTCACATATTTTACTCTCGTTTTTACCTCAAAGGGGTAATTTTAACAGCATAATCATTGTCAGACTTTTAGCCCACATTTTGCCAAATTGGATAAACATTTTTACCACACCTGGCCAATACGTGCCCCCGCTGTAGCTGAGAAACGACTTTTAAGACCTATAAGGCGCATTTTAAAACAGTGTAAACAGTCCCCTTCAGAGCACTGTCCCCAGCTGTAATGTCTGCAACGCTTTCCGCTGCGAGGAAGGGAGGGTTTTGCTGTGAGGAAGGGAGGGCTCTGCTCCGTGGCTCTCTCACTGTGGGCGCTGCAGGGCGCAGGGACACACCGCTGTGTCCGCCAGCTCCAGGGCTGCGACGTTCAATTCTGTGGAGCTCTCGTCGGCCTGAGAGGAAAATCTCTCCCGGGAGAAATCTGCCGCATCGCTGGAAGCGCTGTCTTGTTCCTCTCCGGGGAGTGCACTGAGGGGCTCGGCTGGGAAACCGGCGGTACCAAAAGAGAGCGAGGCCAGCAGCGTCACTGGTGTTGGAGGAAGAGCTGAGTGTCACCTACTGACCCAGACACTTCGGGTTCCTTGGATCGGACCGAGTCGCCCAGCGCAGCACCTACAGCAAGAGCATCAAGCTCAGGGACACACTTTCAATTGCACTTGACCCATGGAAACCCACTGCAGGTAAAGGAGTGAATTTCAAAGGAATGTAAGGGAATTGTGCACCTAACGACAGAGGAGTTAAGGTTTAGGGTTTGGGGTGACAGTGGAGAAAAGGTTTAAGGTAAAGGCTAAAGTTAAGGGAAGTCGAATCTGTGCAGGACGGTTTAAGATTATGCTTCTGGTTTCCTGCGCAATGAGTGTCTGATTCCGGTAGAATCCTCTGACAATTCGTGCCTGGTTACCTAGGAGATTCACTACCCAAAAACCGAGAATAACCCGCTTCTCCATGGTGTCTCCTGCAGCCACCAAACTCCTACTCTCAGATATTGCTCTTGCGACAGAATGAATCTGACCTTCACGTCCCCTCAAGGCAGCTCGGACCGGTGAAGGTTAGTCAGTAACCAGCCGAGTGGGAGAGGGAGGAGTTCGGGGGGCTCGTAACAGACATAGGAAACAAGCGGTGTTCAGGTTAGTCTAAATCGCGGGGCGGCTCAGGGAAGAAGGAGGGTTTGTGAGTCAGTTTCTGGGCTGTTACTGAGGACATCTGAGTTCGGTTCCCAACTCCGACCCGGCTCGCTGTTTGCCCTTGGACAAGGCAGTTAATCGCTCTATGCCTCAGTTTCCCTATATGTAAAATAGAAATTGCAATATTCCTCCAGTTCCCAGGGGGTTTATTAAGATCAATATCTTGCGATGCTCAGTAGTTACTGGTCATATAACTACGTCGATTTTTTTGCAATTCAGTGAAATTTGACCTTGTCCACGGAGCAAGGAATGCTAAACATCTAACTCTGAGAGTGTCCTTTCAGTTTTCAAACAAAATTCTTATTTGGCCTTTTCTTCTGCAGCTACTGTTGTCCCCCTCGCTAAAAATTAAAATGAAGGGTACACAGAGGGATTTCAAAAGAAATAAGTATTCATACTTTTCAACAGAGCATGCAGCTGCGTACACAATATACCTGGAAGGCATTATTTTAATCACATGGATTATTGAAAAGAAATGCGAGGGAATAAGGGTTTTCTAACAAATGACATAAAAACAGAACCTTGTCTGATGCTTGAACAGTGATTTACTTCCAGAACAGGAGGACCCAATGATTTATTTCCCTTACACGCATTTACAAAGAGCTATTTTACTACAATTATTTTACTGACCATTTTAAACCTCCATTTTGCAACAAATTAGCATATTTACATTATTTGTTATATTACAAAGAACCTCAATAAATGATGAGAAAATACTTTAAATAAGTTTCTTGACTAAACCCCTGCCATTTATATTCTCCAGTGGTGGCATTTTAATGCAGTCGTTCTCAGCCAGGGGTAGGGGTACCCCCGCAGATACGCAGAGGTCTTCCAGGGGGTACAGCAACTCATCTAGAGATTTGCCTACTTTTACAACAGGCTACTTAAAAAGCACTAACAAAGTCAGTACAAACTTAAAATTTCATACAGACAATGACTTGTTTATAATGCTTTATATTCTATACACTGACAGGTATGTGTGATATTTATATTCCAATTGATTGATTGTATAATTAATGGTAAAAATAAAAAGATTTTTTTCAGTAATAGTGGGTTGTGAAGCTTCTATTTTACGTCTGATTTTCTCTAATAAAGTCAGTTTTTCTAAGTGAGGTATAACTTGAGGTACGCAAGACAAATCAGATTCCTGAAAGGGGTAACTACAGTCTGGAAAGGTTGAGAACCATAAGAACATAGGAACGGACATACTGGATCAGACCAAAGGTCCATCTAGCCCAATATCCTGTCTCCTGACAGTGGCCAATGCCAGGTGCCCCAGAGGGAATGAACAGAACAGGGAATCATCAAGTGATCCATCCCCAGTTGCTCATTCCCAGCTTTTGGCAAATACAGGCTAAGGACACCATCCCTGCCCATCCTGGCTAATAGCCATTGGTGGACCTATCCTCCTTATCTAGTTCTTTTTTTAACCCTGGCATAGTCTTGGCCTTCACAACACCCTCTGGCAAAGAGCTCCACAGGCTGACTGTGCATTGCATGAAGAAATATTTCCTTTTGTTCGCTTTAAACCTGCTGCCCATTAATTGCATTGGGTAACCCCTAGTTCTTGTGTTAAGAGAAGAATAAATAACACTTCCCTATTTACTTTATCCGCACCAGTAGAGATTTTATACACCTCTATCATATCCCCCCGTAGTCGTCTCTTTTCCAAGCTGAAAAGTCCCGGTTTTATTCATCTCTCCTCATATGGAAGCCACTGGTTTAATGCAGCTGTTTGCAAAAGAATTTGGCGCTTTGGAGAGATTAGGAAGGAGTAATCTGACAGCACCACGTCCGAGCCAGAATGTGTGTTTTAAACAGTGCAGCAAAACTCCGGAGGGGCTCCGCTTCCAACCTCAACGTGCACAGCATTATCTGCAGCTGGGAAGGGAGGGTTTTTGTTCGGCTCTCCTGTGTGGCTCTGTCACTGTGCCAGACTCAGGGCGCAGAGATACACCGCGCTATCCGCCAGCTCCAGGGCTGTGATATTCAGAACTGTGGAGGTGTCATCAGCCTGGGAAGAAAACCTCTTCTGGGCGAAACTTGCAGTGTTGCTTTGGCCGCTGGCTGACTTCGCTCCTCTCCAGAGAATGTACTGCGGGGCCTGGTTCGGATACTGACGGTACCAGTAGAGATAGGCATAGCTATCGCTGGTGGCGTAAGAACAGCTGAGTGTCACAGAACCTCCAGCTGATCCAGACATTTCGGGTTCGTTGGACCGAACCGAGTTACCGAGCGCAGCACCTGCAAAAAAGACAAACAGATTCATGGAAAACATTTCACCTGTAGCTGAGACGTGGAAATGATTCCACCTGCATTGCAGTTAAAGGGAATTTCAATGAAGTCTTAGGCGCCTGACTCCATAGGATTTACAGTGATGAGCAGGGGCAGGGTTAGCGTTTACCGTTAGGATTAAGGCGAGGGTAAGAATAAGGATGTAGGGTTATGGTGAGGGTCAGGTTGTAGCATTCGCATTTTGGTTACAGTCTAGGGTAACCCTTAAGTATAGAGATAGGTTCATGGTTCAATGGGAATCGAGTGTCCGGTTCCCTTAGGCTTCTTTGAAATCCCAGCCCAGTTACCAAGGAAATTGAATATCCAAATGCTGAAAATAAAACACGTCTCCATAGTATCTTCTAACTATACCGCCCAAGTTTCAAACTCAAAGCTATTGCCGCTGTGTCAGAGGAACATAAACTGCAGTCTGTGAGAGCAGCTACACAACTGTGGAAATTCATTAGAAACTAACGGAGAGGAAGAGGGAGGAGTTGGGGAACTCACCGCAGATGCAGTGGGTTGAGGTCAGCCTGCAGCTGACATATTAGTGTTGTTAAGGGGCGGAGGATGGGCTTATGGACAATGGTCTGCTCTGGGATTCAGAGACCTGCTCTGCCACAGACTGTGTGTGTGACGGTGGGAAATGCTCCATGCTTCTGTTTCCCTAGATGTAAAAAAGCGAGGGGTTTCTTCTAACTCATATAGGGACTGTTGATATTTCATGACACGCTCAGGTATCATTTGGCTGGGAGGATGAACTTGTCACCAGCAATAGTGTCCGGGGTTATCAGAAGTAAAATGTAACGGGATGAGGCGCCCAACTCTGTTACCCTCCTTTGAAACGCCCGGCCAGAACTCTTAAAAGAATTGTTTAAATTATTTTTGTCTTTCATTTTCTGCCTTTGCCGACAGCCTGAGTTAAAGCGAAGATCTATAGTCTAGCATGGAAAGGTTTCTTATGGCAACCTGTGTTTCTATTTTCCACCAGCAGAGGGCGATGATTTTACCACCTACGACAAGCTTAGAGTTCAGGGCTCTCGACCTATATACTCTTGGGAAAATTGTATTGCAATTAAATTGTTTCCAAACAAATCCGCCCAAAATGTCAATGTCTCTGCGATAGGCGTATTGATGTGACCGCTGGGGAGCTGGTAACAGCAGCTGGAGCCCGCTAACCAAAAATCGGTATTTCTATTTCCCCATATTTCAATTTGCATATGTTACCCCCATTTCACCAAACGGGAGGTATAGTGTTAACCTAACGAGCTATTTAACAGTCTATTATCCCTTTTCAATGACATTTTTAATTCACATTTTACCTGAATTTGTATTTCCAACAGTAGTTCGTTTCGTCTATATTTCACTCAAAATTGTAACCCTTTTTTACTACAAATTATTCCTTCCCCCCCACTTCAAAGATATAAATAATCTCCTAAACTAGGCAAAGCTGTGTTAATAATTTCCTAAATAAATGTCAGGCCCATTATATTATCCCAGGGAGACATTTAAATTAGCTCTCAAAATAAATATGTAACTGTTAAGGGAAGTTCTATCTTTGCAATGCAGATACTCTCTTTCAATGCGCTGCTCCCCGTTTTAATGTCTGTAACAGCCCCTGCAGCAAGGCTGGGAGAGGTTTTGAACAGCCCTGCTGTGAGATTCTTTCACCGTGGGCGCTGCAGGGCGCAGTAACACACCGCTTTGTCCGCCAGCTCCAGCGCTGTGACTTTCAGTTCTGTTGAGCTCTCGTCGGCCTGAGAGGAAAATCTCTCCTTGGCGAAATCTGCAGTGTCGCTGTAAGCGTTGTGTGTCTTTGTTCCTCGCTGCAGAATGTACTGAGGGGCTCGGCTGGGAAACTGGCGGTACCAAAAGCGAGAGACGCCCGCAGTGTCACTGGTATCGTAGGAACAGCTGAGTGTCACCTACTGACCCAGACACTTCGGGTTCCTTGGATCGGACCGAGTCGCACAGGGCAGCACCTGCAATCAAGGTCCGGGTGACACTTTCAATTGCACTTGACCCATGGAAACGGTTCCAAATGCATGGCAGTTTGAGGGTGGGGAAATTCAAAGGAATGCGGAATAGGGGCGTTATGCGCCAAACAACGCCAAAGGAGTTAAGGGTAGGGTTAGGGGTGACAAAGGAGAAAAAGGTTAGCGTTTAGGGGAAGGGCTAAGGTTAGGGGGAATCTATGCTGGACAGTTTGCGATTGTGCTTCGAGTTTAATGCGCAAGGAGTTTTCCGTGGAATTCTCTGAAAATTCGTGCCCGGTTACCTAGGAGATTCACTATCCAAAAACCGAGAATAACCCACGTCTCCATGGTGTCTCCTCCTGCAACCACCAAATTTCTACCTCCCAGATATTGCTGCCGCTGCAAAATAAATTACATTTCACGTCCCCTGAAGGCAGCTCGGACCGGAGACGGTTAATCAGAAACCCGCCGAGTGGGAGAGGGAGGAGTTTGGGGAGCTCGTAGCAGACACAGGAAACAAGCCGTGTTCAGGTTAGTCTGCGGCTGAAATCGCTGGGCGGTTCAGGAAAGAAGGCAAGTTTGTGAGTGCCGTTGAAATCGCGAGGTGGTTCAAGGAAGAAGGAGGGTTTGTGAGTCAGTTTCTGGTCTGGGACTGGGGACACCTGGATTCAGTTCTCGCCTCTACCACCGACTGCCTGTTTGCCCTGGAGCAAGCCAGTTAATGTCTCTGTGCCGCAGTTTCCCTACATGTAAAGTAGATATTGTTATATTTCTCCATCTCCCAGGGTGATTGTGAGGATAAATATCTTGGGGTGATTAGCAGTTACTGGGAGGTCATATTACTGTGTAGTTTTTTTTTTTTTTTTTTGGTTGAATGAAGTCTGAGATTGTCCAAGGAGCAATGCGAACTAGACATCTAACTCTCTGTCTTCTTTGAATGTTTCGGACATCATTCTTGAAATAATTATTTTATTTGGCCTTTTCTTCTTCAGCCATTGTTGTTCCCTGGATAGAAATTATGAAATTAAACATAAAGTGATTTCAAACAACAATAAGTATTCACACTTTTCAACATTCAGCTGGTTTCACAATATACCTGGAAGGCATTGTTTTGATCATATGGATTATTGAAAAGAAATGCGAGGCAATGAGGGTTTTCTAACAAATTACATCAAAGCAGATCCTTGTCTGATGGTTGAACAGTGATTTAGTTCTGGAACATTAGGAGCCAATGATTTGTTTACATTACCCGCATTTACAAAGAGCGGGTAATTTATTGTAATTATTTTACTCATCAATTTTAACCACCATTTTGCAACAAATTCCGTTTTTTACATGATTTATTGTATTACTAAGAACACCAACAGAGGGTGAGAAAATACTTTAAATAAGTTTATTGACTAGACCCCTCCCATTTATATTCTCTAGTGGTGGTATTTCAATGCACTTGTTCTCAACCAGGGTTAGAGGTCTTCCTGGGGGTACATCAATTCATCTAGATATTAGCCTAATTTTACAAAAGGCTGCGTAAAAAGAACTAGCAAAGTCAGTACAAACTGACAGGTTTCAGAGTAACAGCCGTGTTAGTCTGTATTCGCAAAAAGAAAAGGAGTACTTGTGGCACCTTAGAGACTAACCAATTTATTTGAGCATAAGCTTCCGTGAGCTAAAGCTCACTTCATCGGATGCATACTGTGCAAACAATGACTTGTTTATACTGCTTTATATTCTATACACTGACATGTAAGTGCGATATTTCCAATTGACTGATTTTATAATTAATGGTAAAAATAAAAAGAATTTTTTCAGTAATAGTGGGCTGTGAAGCTTCTATTTTATGTCTGGTTTTCTTATAAAGTCACTTTTAAGTGAGGTATAACTTGGGGTACGCAAGATAAATCAGACTCCTGAAAGGGGTACAAATAGTCTGGAAAGGTTGAGAACCATAAGAACATAGGAATGGCCAGACTGGGGCAGACAAAAGGTCCGTCTAGCCCAGTATCCTGTCTTCCAACAGTGGCCAGTGCCAGGTGCCCCAGAGGGAATGAACAGAACAGGGAATCCTCAAATGATCCATCCCCTGTCGTCCATTCCCAGCTTCTGGCAAACAGCGGCTAGGGCCAACCATTCCTGCCCATCCTGGCTAATAGCCATTGATGGAACCTATCCTCTATGAATTTATCTAGTTCCTTTTTGAACCCCGTTATAGTCGTGACCTTCACAACATCCTCTGACATTAACCGTTCCACAGGTTGATTGCAGGGAGAAATATTTCCTTTTGTTTGTTTTAAATCTGCTGCCTATTGATTTCATTGGGTGACCCCTGGTTCTTGTGTTAAGAGAAGAATAAATAACACTTCCCTCTTTACTTTATCCATACCAGTAGAGATTTTATACACCTCTATCATATTCCCCCGTAGTCGTCTCTTTTCCAAGCTGAAAAGTCCCGGTTTTATTCATCTCTCCTCATATGGAAGCCACTGGTTTAATACAGCTGTTTGAATAAGAATTTGGCGCTTTGGAGAGATTAGGAAGGAGTAATCTGACAGCACCACGTCCGAGCCAGAATGCGTGTTTTTAACAGTGCAGCAAAACTCCGGAGGGGCTCCGCTTCCAACCTCAATGTGCACAGCATTATCTGCAGCTGGGAAGGGAGGGTTTTTGTTCGGCTCTCCTGTGTGGCTCTGTCACTGTGCCAGACTCAGGGCGCAGTAATACACCGCGCTGTCCGCCAGCTCCAGGGCTGTGATATTCAGAACTGTGGAGGTGTCATCAGCCTGGGAAGAAAACCTCTCCTTGGCAAAATCTGCGGTGTATCACTGAGATGGCTGGCTGACTTCGCTCCTCTCCAGAGAATGGACTGCGGGGCCTGGTTCGGATACTGACGGTACCAGTGGAGATAGGCATCGCTACCGCTGGTGGCGTAAGAACAGCTGAGTGTCACAGAACCTCCAGCTGATCCAGAGACTTCGGGTTCCTTGGACTGGACCGAGTCGCCCAGCGCAGCACCTGCAAGAAGACGAACACATTCGAGGTAATTTCACCTGTAGCTGAGCCCTGGATATGATTCCACCTGCATTGCAGTTTAAGGAAATTTGAAGGAAGTCTAAGGGATTTAGTCGCCTAACTCAATAGGCATTAATGTCATGGGCAGGAGAAGGGTTGGGGGTTTAACTTTAGGTTTAAGGAGAGGGTATGAACAAGGGTTTAGGGTTATGGTGAGGGTGAACTGTCAGGCTGCAGTATTTCCGTTTTGGTTACAGTTCAGGGCACGGGTTAAGTAGAGGGTTAGGGGTCAATGGGAACTCCGTGTCTAGTTTCCTTGAAATCCCAGCCCAGTTACCTAGGAGGTTGAATATAGAAATGCTGAGACTAAAACACTTCTCCATAGTATCTTCTCTATCCACCAAGTTTCAAACTCCCAGCTATTGCCGCTGCCTGAGAGGAATATAAATGTCACGTCTGTGAGGGCAGCTACAACTGTGTAAAATTAATTATAAACCAATGGAGAGAAAGAGGGAGGAGTTCGGGTAACTCACACAGATCCAGGAACAGAGTAAGTTCCGGTCAGCCTGCAGCTGACATATTAGCGTTGTTAAGGGAGGGGGAGGGGCTTGTGGACGAGGGTCTGCTCTGGGACTCAGAGACCTGCTCTGCCACATACTCTGAGTGTGTGAGGATGGATAATGTATTCCTCAGTTTCCCTTGCTGTAAAATGGGGGGTTTCAAGATCTCTTGACGCTCGCAGATATCATTGGTATGGGGCATTAATATGTTTGCCAGCAATAATGTCATTATTGCAGGGTTAGGATCAGGGTTCGGGTTAAGGATAGCCGGGGGTTCGGATCTGGGTCAGGGTTAGAATCAGGGTTCGGGTTCTGGGTAGAACGGGAGTTGGGAGCCTAATTCCATGAAGCTTCTTCCAAAAAACAGCACCCGGATACCTAGTTGGTTAAAGACCCAAAGGCTGAGAATGAAACGCGTCTCCATGGTGCCTCAGACAGCGGCAGCCGGACGAGCTGAGAGGTCGCGGAGAGAAGAATCTTAAAGGCAACTCTCGGAACAAGGGCTGGGAGCGGTTACTACGAGACCAGCCGAGCAGAAGAGGGAGGGGTTCGGGAAATGCATAACAGACACAGGAAACGTGCTGGGTTCTGCCCCTGAAGCGCCAGTGAGAACTCGTGGGGCAAATTCCTTCCACTGCACTTCCTGGAAGATCGGTTTCTTATTCATTTTCATGTGTTATTGTCCTTCTTGTTGCTACTCAGGGAGACGCAAATTAAAGACATTGTGGGAAGACTTAAGTTCTGTGTTGTGCGTACTGGTTTTGTCGGTGTGGATATTTTTTTGTATGTCTCTATGTCTGTGTTTGCATGTGCATGCGTGTATGTCTGCATGCTTCCGTATTTTGTGCCTTGGTGTACCTATCCAATTGAACCCATGCTGGTTTACCCCATCTGGGGAAATCCCACCCCAATAGAATTACAGCTGATTGATACCTGTGGTGGACCTGGCCCAGTTGACTCCATTTGACCCACAGTGATTCACCAGCTGGGAGCAGACCCACTGTGGTGTAATCTGGCATTAATCTGAAGTAATAAAATGGTGAATGAGGCCCATAAGTCTTCACAGGTGTCAGGTCGTGTGGGTTTATACCAGCCCTATTACCTGGTTTAACCATCTGTCTGTGGCCTGGGGATACACCTCTACAGTTGTGTTTCTCATGATAAGAAAGCCAAGGGGGTGGGTTTTTGTACAGGTCTCCCTATTAAACGCCTCACAGTGTCTTCCACGAGAGCACAGAAATACATCGCTGAGTCCGTCGGCTTTAGCTCTTTAATGGTTAAACTGAAGAATTTTGAGGATTTCCTGAATTGTGCAGAAAACCGTCTCCCGGCTCCATTCTTTCCAGAGTTACTCTGATTTATTCGGAAGAGGAAATCCATCCTCCCTGATCGCTGTTGTCTGTACCAAAATAAGTAATAATACTGATATCCAGTGGAGAAAGTACACTCCAGGGTGACAGTCTGCCCCCCCCACTTTACCAGCTGCCCTTGTGTTTGGGTGACAGTGCCTTGTCCCTGGCTGAAACCTGAAGGGAAGGAAAGAGATGCAGAAAAAGTTCACTCTAATTAAGCATGTAAAATTGTTGCACATCGACAGCCACTCTGGTGAGAGGAGAACAGAGTCCCTTGAGGACTCACGGCCTCCCAGAAATTGAAAGGCTATTTATGCGCATCTTGTACAAAGAGACCCACTCAGGCGTAGAATACAGGGTTGGTTTGCCCAGCTTCTAGTAAGGCAGCAGTGAAGTTGAGACTAGTACCCAGGAGTCCTGAGTCCTAATCGTACATGCTCTAACCATAGACCCTGATTCCCACTCAGGGCTGGGAATAGGACCCAGGAATCCTGATTCTCAGTCTAACTGCTTTCAACCTCTGGACTCTATTCCTCTCCCAGAGGTGGGACTAGAAACCAGGCCAGATCCACTCCTTTAACTCACTAGACACCCCCACTCCTCCCTGAGTTGTGAACAGAATCCCAAAATCCTGTCTTCCAGTTGCTCCCCCCCCCCCCGCTGCCCACGCCTATTCAAATCCACTGGGTAACAGAAGCTGTAATATTCATTTCCCCCTTTAGTTGACACTTACTCAAAGAAAGGAATGCTGTTACTGTCCAGATCAGGATTTCTGGAGCATTCATGGTTAAATATATTGTTTCCAGATCTTCAGGCTCTCCAAGCCACCACAATGATGGGTGCAATACAGGAACCTGAATAGAACAGAATCTTATGGTGAAGTTTCTCTCACAGAATCAAGTCAGAGACATTAAATCTGTGGCAAGAGCTCCATTTAGTCCTCTCCTATAGACCCCAGTTGAAGCCTGTTTCTCTCACCATGGAACAGCTAATACCCTCCGGTAGCATTTACCCCACCCGCTGTGGCTTTGGCTTGTTCCTGTCACGTGTCACCTTTCTGACCTCCAGATCTCTTTCGCAGCTCAGTAGAAGGAGCAACTTGTTCTTCTTAGTACTTTCGGAGAGGATAACTCAGCAAGAATCACAAAGTCGAGCAGGTTTTTACTTTTTTTTTCAAATGTTAACACACACACACACGGGACTACACATTGATCCCATTGCCACAGATCTGGGCAGGGCCCTCCCTGCTCACAGCCCAGAGAAAAAATTTGCCGAGGGTTCTTTCTCCAGAGTGAAGCAAAATTAAGCCCGTTGAGTCACGACCTGGGGATCTGGGCCATTGACGCCAATACAGTTATTATTCAAAATCCTCCTGGTGTACAGACTTCAGGCTTGTTCGAATACTCTGTGTTTGTTATGTTTCTTGGCTCGTGAGTAGGGCTGGGATATTCAAAAGAGCCTAAGGGAGTTGAATTTCACTGGAATTTTCAAAGGAAACTGAGTGCTTAACTCATTTGAAAATCCTAACCATAATTACAAGTGGCTCATTAAAGAATACAGTGTTAGGAGAATTACTGAAATGAAGAGTAGGTATTTTTTAACCTACAGCCAGGTATTGCTACTCTAACAGCAGCTGCTACTGCCCTCCCCTCTCCCACCTCTCAGCTGTGCCAGGGAGGGCGGGGGGAGAAGTTGCTCCTCTGCATATATTGTAGCTCAAAGACAAGTTTGATAAGAAGGTTTGAGAGCAAAGATGGGCAAGTGGTTAGGCCAGGAGCCTAGAATCTGGGAGATTCTGTGTGACCTTGGGTGGGTGACTTGTTGGCTTCTCTGCGATTCAGGTCCTCATCCCTGAAATGGAGATCGTGGCCCTGTCCTATATCACAGAAGTGTTGTGAAAATAAAATAAATCGAAGGCAGTAAGGTGCTCAGGTGATGGGGGTCAAAAAAGTAACTTAGATTGAAGTTATGGGCTTATGGTAAATTTTTCAAGAGCACCTAAGTGAGGTAGGACACAGCCCCATTTTGAAAAGGCAGTTTTGAAAATGTTCTCCTGAAAGCGGGAATTACAGAATGACATTCTCTGACCTCTGCTATGCAGGAGTCAGCCCAGATAATCAGACAGGTGCCTTTCTGGTTTTTAAAATCTGTTATATCCGTCCGTGCTCATTTTTAATGGAAATCTGGTGTTCAAAACCCGAAATCAGATTAAAACGCTGAGAACAAGTGTTTCCTTGCACACAGTTGGAAATTGACGGTCATGGTGATGGCACCTAGACAATAAAACTGAGATCTGGGCTGGCCCTGTCAGGCAAGGACCCTGCATCAAAGATTTTTCAAACTCAACAGCAGAGACAGATGGGGAAGAATGCAAGTGAGGGATGTGGGAGGGTTTTGTGCAGCTGTCTCCGGGGACTCTCACACTGTGTCTCATTCAAGGCACAATAATACACAGCTCCGTCCGCCAGCTCCAGGCCTGCGATGGTCAGAACTGTAGCAGTGGCTTTAGCTTCAGAAATGAACCTCCTCTGGGCAAAATCTGCGTGGTCACTGATGGTGCTTCCCTTCGCGCCTCCCCGGAGAATGTCCTGCGGGGCTTGGCTGGGGCTCTGGCGGTACCAGTGGAGAGAGACACCGCTATAGCCGGTGCTGTAGGAGCAGCTGACTGCCACAGCGCCTCCTTCTGTGACAGACAGGTCGGGTTCATAGATAGATAGATAGATAGTCTGAGTGCACATTTCTGAAACAGACAGAGCAGAGGAACCGAGGCAGAAGGAGAGTTACACAGACAGAGAAAGGCAGAGTGAAGGAAAGAAAGAGACAGTTTCTAGAAAGATAATTAAAGATGCAACTTCGGTATGAGAGAGACAGACTCATAAGCAGTGAGGCAATAATTAATAATCATTTATATCTTAAGCATTTCAAACTGAAATCCTGACATAGCAAAGCCTTTAAACACGTTTAATTTTAAGCAACGTGTGTAGCCCATTGATTTCAACAAGAGTAAGGTAAGTGCCCACGTGTTTCTCTGGATTGGGTCCTAAGAATCTAGGAGCATTTAGAGTAGTAAACAATGAGCAACAAATGAAGTGATAGCAGAAAGAAATATGATCGAAAGTGAAAATACAGTTGCATACTGTGGAACTCCTTGCCAGAGGATGTTGTGAAGGCCAAGCCTATAACAGGGTTCAAAAGAGAACTAGATAAATTCATGGAGGACAGGTCCATCGATGGCTATTAGCCAGGATGGGCAGGGATGGTGTCCCTAGCCTCTGTTTGCCAGAGGCTGGGAATGGGTGACAGGAGGTGGAAAACCTGATGATTCCCTGTTCTGTTCATTCCCTCTAGCACTTGGCATCGCCACTGTCAGAAGACAGGATACAGGGCTAGATGGACCATTTGTCTGACCCAGTATGGCCTTTCTTATGTTCTTATAGCACTTAAAGGCTTCAGTGATTCAAATGGCAGAGGTAATTTGTTTAAATCAAAAGAGAAAAAAAAAATTCCCATGCAAATA